AATATAACAATAAACCATGATTTCTTATGTACAAGCTGGGTTGAATAACAACCATGCATGCTTTGTGTCTTTTGTGTAAGAAAAAAAATCAGCACGTTCCAGAAGTCACTGATCCTGATTTATTTGTATAAAACATAGTTTGTTCACAAAGCAGGAAACTAATTAGATCCCAGACTAGAACCACAACGGAGTGGGGGTCACCAAAGGTAAGATACGGCAAATGCATATAACAGGAAGATTGGTTCCATCTGATCTTACAACTGTGTTCTGCAGCACAGATGTTATAATTTATACACTTCAATTACGTAATGAAACTTCTAAAGTCGCTCTCATTCTCTGTCTTTCTCTCTCTCTTCTGTCACTCTCTTGCTCTCTCTACTTCAGCAAACCTGCTGAAAAAAAGTGTTTTCTTCAAATATCTTATTGCTGTATGTCTCCCTTGGAATCTAAGTTTTTTTTCTGCTGCAATCACAAGCAGAATCTAAATACAATAGTTAGCATTACGTTTATGAAGAGGCCATTGTTTCAAGGGGCAGAACCTGTCTGATTATGGGCGCTATGCAGGTCAGTTCTGGTTAGAACATGGATGGACCACTCAGCAGATACCATGAGATATACGCTATATTTCAAATGAAGGAATTGGCAATAGGCTTATGCAATCCAGTTAAACCTTAATCCGTTTCAGTGCCCCAGTTTTTGGTTGTGGTCCCGATCATTTTTTTAGGATCCTCCAGAATTCGGGAGCACAGAAATCCATTTTCGACCCAGGAAGCCAAAATATTTGTTTTCAATCCAGCCCATTGGCAGCAATGGGGGTTCCCCTTCTTGTCATTTTATGCCTCATTTGTCCTTCTATCTTCGCCTCCTGGGATCCTTTCCCTTCTGTCTTTAGAGAAAACCTGGGTTTAAAGAAAGGGCTTAAGAAACCTCACTTCCTGGGATCCTGTTCCTTCTTTCTTTAGAGGAAATCTGGGTTCAAAGAAAAGGCTTAAGAAACCTCATTTAATGGGATCTTTTCCCTTCTGTCTTTAGAGGACACCTGGGTTTAAGGAAAGGGTTTAAGAAACCTCGCTTCCTGGAATCCTTTTTCATCTAGTGGCTGACTCCCTCCCAGCACTCAACGTGTAACCGAAAGAAACTGAAAGCAGACGGTTTTCGACAGCTGCTGTTGCAGCTGGTAAAAAAAATTGCAGTGGAGCCCATGAAGTTACGGGCTGCTGAACAAGCCGAACAAACCGTACAAGCTGAAGGCACCTCGCCAAAACGAATCCATGCACAAGTGTAATTGGTAACTCCACCTCTGGTTATTCCATGCCTAAGAAAATCCCATGGAATTTGAGAGGTTGATCATAAGTCAATATACATAAGGTGAACTTATCACAGAGTTTTCTTTTCAAGATTTCTTCAAAGAGAGTTTGCTTTTGCCTTCCTCTGTAAGAAGGTGACACCTAAGTTGAGTAGTGGGCTGACATGGTTGGCAGGGGATTCAGAACCTAGTCTCTAGCACTCGAACCGCTACACCACCCTATCTCTTTGTATTTAAACCCATGCACATAGAATATTTACTTTTCATGAAAAAAGAAGTGAATTCTTTGTACTTGTATCATTACCATAAATGACTAAGTAACTAGCAGCTGTCAAAAACTGTAAGCTGCAATTACAATTTTTTTTGGCATTCTTCCATATTTAAGGAGAAACATTTCTACTGATTAGCCACCAGATCTACTATAATTACCACAAAGATTAGAAATAGCATTTATATATTTTGTATTAATTAAAGAGAAGAGTTATTTTTAATAAAAAATCAAACTCAGTGCCCACATGCATCGTTTGACTTAAAATAAAAGAAAAAAGAATTAACAATTTTTTTGTCATAACTTTTTTTATTTCTTGCATGCTGCAAATAAAACATAGCAATAGCTCTTGGAGTGTAATTTCTTGGAATGTAACAAATCCATTGCAAATTAACAGGATGTCCTGAAGTTCAGGCACTCTGGAGTTTCAAGCAAAATTTGGACTATCCCTTGACATAGCCGTGTGGAAAATCAATGCTCCATTTGCAGAGAGTATGGGTTTTTGGACTTACGTAGACAAGCCCTCAGAAAATGTGATTTGCCCAGTGAAATTCCATGGGACTTGAACACTGATCTTCTAGAGGAGGCATGGGCAAACCTTTTTTGCACTGGGGCTGCATTTCGGGCCTGGCCAGGAGGTGCAGGCTAGGAGTGGGTCTGGGAGGGTGTGCTGGGCCATGGAGGAGGTGGGACTGGGGTCTGGGGTGGGCCTGGGAGGGGTGGGACCAGGGCAGGGCAATCCCAGAAGGGGGCAGGGCCAGGGGCAGATCTGATGCTGGGAGAAGGGAGAGGCAATAGCAGGCGAGGTGACTTAGCTTTGGAGTCACTTCGTCTGCCTCCTCTCCCTCGCCCTGTTCTTATGCCAGGAGGAGGGCCTGAAGATGGCACGCGCTGACTGAGAGCACTCTAGAAGGCTCCCATCCACCACATACCTTCCTCCCTCCTCTTTTTGGCATAAGGATGTGGTGGGCCACTGTATCCTTATGCCCAGAGGACGGGGGGGGGGGGGGGGGGGGTGAGGGCCAGACATAAGGGCCCAAAGGGCTGAGTACAGCCCACAGGCTTTAGTTTGCCCATGCCTATCCTAGAATCATACTCAACACTGAAACCACAACACCATGCTGGCCCTCAATATAACATATATCAGTCTTTAAAACACTACCACCTAGGTGTACCCATTTTAGCAGATGAATTGGTTGCTGTTGTGTGCTTCTGACCTATGTTGACCTTAAAACAAACCTATCACAGGGTTTTCTTGACAATATCCCTTAATATAATTAAAACATTGCAAATCTGAACACCTACCCCTTTTTTGCATGGTTGGGGTTTGCATTGCTGAAAAAAGTATAAAAAGTAAATAGGTATAACACTAAAGGATGGTCTGTGAATATTTCTGATTTCCTATTGAAATGAATGGACCTTAAAGGTGCTTAGCTTTGGCTGAACAATTGTCCTTATGCTTTCAATAGACTTACCTACAATAAGTCAGTCTATTGAAATGGTATCTTTCTAGAAATATAGTCTTAGCTTGCTCAGGAACACTACATTTTTATTTAGATGCACAAATAAAATATATCACCCTATAACATGGTTGAATAACTTTTTAAAGAAACAGACTCCTCCTTGTTCCAATTTATTTCCTTTATTGCCAAATAAAAGAAATATACATATACCTTGGGATAGTACAGGTTACTTTATGTGGTTGTTCTTTGTAATACCCTGCAAAAACAGCACAATATAGAAAAAAGTCCATTAAAAGAATTACAAACAGTTTATTTACCAGATCACTTTCTCCCAAGTCCCTTTTCTCTATACATATACCAGTATATGTCATAAATAAATATTTTATAGTATTTTAAATAAAGGAGAAAAATGCCAAATAAAAAGGCAAATAATACAGTATCTTAGAGAGTGTTTTTTTTTTTAAAAAAATACTATAAGAATCCCGTTTAGCACTGGGATATAATGTAATGCACATTCAGAGGAAAGCTATTTCTTTTCTTTGGCTAGGCTAGAAGCTAAATGTGCAGTCTAAATCTACCATCTTTTTTCTTATGTTAAGGTTTTATCTCCCATTTAATGGGTAAACTTACTCTGAAGTGCAGTTGCTTGTTTAACTTTACTCCTATTCATGCCTTTGATTTTTATTTTATTTTTTGCAGGTTAGTTAATTCAAAAAAATTGAAGTTAAGAACTTTCAAGGAAAGGCATAGGAGAACCCAATTTAACCTAGAGTGTCTCTTTTATTCTTTCGTTATTCATTTGAAGTGCCCTATCAGCTTGAACTGACCAACTTCAGTCATTTTTAGCCTTTTATTTTTTTTCTCTAATGTAAACTGAAATTCCCTGCTGTTCATGGTATTTCAGTGTTTAGCATCATTTAATGAGCAGGTATCATTAAACTTAAAAGGTCCCTTTCTATATATCTCTGATTAGTTATTGAAAGAACCAAAGAATTCCTTTAATTTATCTTTGCTTCCTTGTTATATTTTGATGTTAGCTCATTTTATGTTTCAGTGTCTTTTTATGAAATAGAACATTATAATTTTGGTGTGAAAGTAGGACAGATCCTTTCAAAAACTGGCATGCAGATAAAAATGTAACAGTGCTGTCTTGTTTACAAAGGATGTGCTCACACAATTCCTTGGTCTTTTTTCCTGTAATATAGCATCACATACATTTTAATGTATATGAACGTTTATCATTAATATTTTACTTAATGAAAACATTCATTATCTATTTAGGCAGATACCTTTTAACTTCTGACAGGGTACATATATAGTTGCCCTCCAGTTCTCTTTTCTTTGCACATTGAAATCATCATCTGAAATATGTAGATACTTGTTTAATATTAATAATTAATGATTAATGTTAACAACCTCAAATTGGAAGATGCTAATTAATGAAAGATGCCTAAGACTAAGAATACTGAAAATCCATGGAAAATGAAAATAAGTACAGTGCTATAGTCAGTATAGTGAGAGATAATGAGAAGTATTCAGTCAGTACCCACATTTTGCTCATCCTTCCCGGCACTAAGTACATGATGCAAGGTATAAGGTCTAATTTTCTTTTAGTTGGGAGGGAGGGGACTGGCCAAGTATTTCAGATAAATTCTAGCTAGACGAGAAACAACATTTCATAGTCTTCATTTTGCAAAGGAGTACTAGTTCTGACCTTACTTGGTTTGAGGAGTGATGGCTGGCAAGCGAAAATGAGTATAGGTTGAATATCCCATACCCAAAATGCTCAGACCCAGAAGTGTTTCAGATTTTGGATTTTGGAACACCTACATTTGAATATACATACATAATGCAATGCCTTGGAAATGGGACCCAGAATTCATTTATGTTTCATATATACCTTGTACATATGCTCTGATTCTAATTTCATGTAATATTTTTTACAATTTTGTGTATCAAACAGAACCATTAGAGAGCAAAGGTAGTTCTCTTGGGCACCCATATGGACAATGCTGGATTTTTGGAATCCAGGTAAGGGATGCTCAGCCTGTGTTGGGAAGTTGCATGTCATTGAGATCTGGACTGAAATATATACCCACATTTTCTCTTCCCTGCCAGACTATGTTTGGAAAAGATTAGTTGATTTAGATTCTCTGTTAGAGAAATTTAGTTTAATGAAGGTCTCTATCTCTCTTTTAAGTGATAGGCTTTCATTTACTCTTTACAACCTAGGCTCAATGTTTGTATTAAAAGCAAATATTAAGCTTTTTGCATTCTGTATCCTGATTTTCTGAAAGGAGTTTGTCCGAGCTGTTAACAAGATATCACATTAAGTAAAGGATTTGCCATGGATTGTGGTGCATTTTTTAGGGCCTGGCTAGGGGCACGCCACACACCACATTGCCTGGCTTCCCTTTTATCCCATCCCACAGGGGGAAGCATCCACCATCTGGCTTCCCCTCATTGTTCCTTATGCGACATGGGGAGCTTCCTGTGTTGCCGCGGCAGTGGCATATGCTGGTTCCCCTTCACTTTTGACATGGAGCCCTGCCAGAATAGGTGTACATTGTGGGCTGGGAGCCGGTAGGCTCCATAGCAAAAGTGAAGAGGAACTGGCATACAGCTGGCAATGATGAAGCCAAAAGACTTTGCTGGTATCAGTCACATTAGCTTTAAGGAAATTGAGGTGGGGGTAACCTAGTTAACGACAGACTGAGGAAGCTGGCATTTGTTGTTCTGAGTGAAATTATGAACTCTGGTATGGCAAGTTTTCCTCAAGCCATTTATCACATTTGGTATAAATATTAACTGCTGTCTTTTGTTTTGAAAATAATTACTATCTTAATTCTATATTTCATCCATTTAACTTTCACAGCAATCACACAAGTTGTGAAATAAATAGCCATTAAACAATGTGGAATGGGTTCTGATTTTACTTTTAGAAGTAAATGCCAACTTGGAAAATAGAAATGTCGGAAAATTATAATGAGGACTGGATTTCAAACACATTTCAAATAAGGGTCAGATAATAAGAGGTGTCTTGCTATAATTAACATAAACTACACAAACAACTGAAAGTGTGTTATTTACTAGGTAGGTCCCTTCGTATGAAATGTAAATGTACTCTGTAAATAGGGTAATTATCACAAATTGTTCTTGTGTGTTTTATTTTTTTCTGACTTCGTTCCTCACACCTCTTATCCTGAAATACATATAAACTCCAAATCAGTATAATATTACATATGTCCACAAACATTTATGCCATGATATGCCTTTCATAAAACATTCTGTCATTGCTGCAAGAGGGTAACATGGCCAGCAATGAAAATGGTAACAAAAGTGTGTGAAATTATTCAAATCCATCTCTTACTACCATTCCCTGCCTCCCTTCCTTCCTTTGACTCTCCTGCTGCCCATTTTTTATTGTCATTTTCTCTGATCAGGGACCTTTCCTTTTTGCTGTCCTCTGATGCTCTTTAAAATGTCATGCACTCTGATACAGAAAACTCAAAGCTTCATTGTTACGGCTTATAGTTGCATATTAAGCAGTGGAGGACCTACTGTTAGAATGAAATACTTGGTGTCTTTGCATGAAGAATCTCTTACTTGGGGATTTGAGGTGACTAAAAACTGCTTTTTGTATTACAGTTTATTTCTTCAGGGTTAATTCATGCAAAATATGCCTTCATGGAAATTGTTATCTCCTTCCCCCCCCCCCCCCTAAAATAAATAAAATAGCACCTCAGAAATACAGAACTAGGAGAGTTCTGAGTTCTCATTTCCAATTAAAAGGGAGATTACCTATTTGCAAATTATGTTATTTTGGTAGATCCATACATGTGTACTTACATGAGTACAGCAATGACATTCATGTGTAGTGATAGATTGATGGTGCATCTATACTGTAGAATTAATGCAGCATGACATCACATTCACATCTGTAGCTCAGTGCTATGGAATCACAAGACTTGCAGTTTTACAAGGTCTTTAACCTTCTCTGACAAAGAGTGTTGGTGCCTTACCAAACTACAACTGCCGTGATTCCATAGCATTGAACCATGGCAGTTAAAACGGTGCCACACTACATTAATTCTACAATTTAGAATGCACCTCCAGAAAACAGCTGTTCCTGATTCAGGGAGTAGTTAGAGTTAGGGACATTATAGAAAATCTGTAAAGGAAAGAAGACATGAAAAGGTAGCTATCTATTTCCCAGTATGGGATCATGTTTTGCTGGCAGGTACGAGAATTACTACTTTCATTGTTATCCCTGCTATTTAGTTGTGCATCTCTGAAAGGAATCACAGACCTTAAGAAGCAGTCTGTGCGTAGATTGGACCTACAAAAATTCCTTAAAAGCCTACTCAGTACTTGAGAACTACCCGTATTTACTCGAATCTAGTGCACCATCGAATCTAATGCGTACCTCAGGTTTCAAGACCCTGAAAAGATTTGCTAGTGAATGTAATTCTCAGCAGCAAAAAGTGCCCTCTTTGTAATTTGTTCCCCAAAATGTTACTGTATTCTTAGAATTCCTTCTTTAAAAATAGTGTTAGATCACCAAATCTTTCAGCACTTGAGAATAACATCAGAAAACCCTTCCCTGAAGGAGTCATGAAAGAAAAGGCAGAGAGAGGGAAAGAGAAGCGAGGCTTCATGTTATTTGGAATGATACTTATGGCAAAGGTGACACTCATGTGTTGAAAAGTGCCACCTTAGCGCCCACAGAAAGTAGCAAAACCTATATTCAAACATCATTTTAACAGCAAACAAGATGTGTTCACCTCTTTTAGATGTTCCAGGCACAATTCTGAGTGTTCATTATGACCTATAAAGTCTTAGGTCCAGACTATTTGATGGATCTTATCCCCCAGTATCAGAACAACATTACTCAGGCTGCCCTGAGTCCCCTTTGTGGGGAGAAGGGTGGGGTAGAAATAAATAAATAATAGCCTTATGGCATTTTATAACATTATGGCAATATAACAAAAGAAATAACAACAACAACAACAACAACAGCAACCACCACCACCAGATATTAGATTAGGAGGTTAGGAGGGCTTTAAATATACCATAAAGGTCATCTTTCCTTCTTGAGCACCAGAAGTTACTCCTCTGCCAGAGGTATCCTTGAGGGAAGGACTTCAGAAGGAGTGGGGAGAGGAGAGTCCCTTTTCTTTATCTTCTTAATAGGAGGCTATGGAAATGAACTGAGGAAGGGGGGTTCCTTCTCCTTCACTTCTCAGCTGGGAGGCAAAAAGAAATCCATCCCTCCCCCCCCCCACCAAGCCAAGCCCAGTTTGACTCAGCTGAGGGGGGGGGGTAGTTTTCTAGCTGGCCTCTTTCAGAGCCTGAAAGTCGCAGCTCCTCAATCAGGCGAAGGCTGGGGAAACCAGTACCCTGAGCCTGACGAAGGGGAACAGGCATGTTTTGGCACATGATTCTAATGTGCCATCAAATGTAATTCACATCTGCATTTTGGCTAAGCAAATATAATAATAATAATAATAATAATAATAATAATAATAATAATTATTATTATTATTATTATTATTATTATTTTGTCCTATCTCCCCAAGCGGATTCAGGGTGGTTTACAACAGAAAATTGGCAAACATTCAAATTGGCAACATTATGCCAAAAAAGATGCGCATTACATTTGAGTAAATACGGTATATCTTTACATCTAAATAAGTTTTGACAACTTCTTCCTCTTACATTTCTGCAAAACTTTTAGAGTCCCAAAAACTCTTCTGTTGTTTCCTAAAAGCAAATTTTAGAAGCAAGAATACAAATGATCAGAAATATTAGAACCACAAATATATACAAGATCTGGGCCTAATGCCTCTTTATCCAGAGGAGTCCTTCAAAGTAAAGCAAGAACAACACTTTATCATAGTGGAGATTAATTTGTTATTTAACTAAAAACCACTTCACACATGGTGTGTGTTTTTGTACGCAAAGTTTATCATGGCTGGCACATGCATGCACAGAAGCGGATGAGAAGTTACGTTGCCAAGAATAAAATCAGGAATTCATTGCATATATTGTATATATTTCTTAAGTCACAATGTACATTTTATTTTAAGGGCTATGGAAACCATAATGTGTGAAGTAGCTATACATACAATACTCTGTAAATAAAGCCATAAAATGAGGGCAGACTTTTTGTGTTTCTATTGTAGCACCTCCTTCCAAGGCCTTGAAAAGAGGCAACTACTGAGGTGTTAATGGCCTTGTAAGAGGTGTAAATGGCTGCTAAAGGGTTCTTAATGGTTGCTACTCAAACAGTGTAGACAGTGTACAGAGAAAGCAAGACAAGCTAAAAGAAGAGCAGCCTACAGTATAGATTTTTTTCTCTTTTGGAGTAAATATAAATTACAAACCAGAAGTACATGTAAAAATTATTGCAATAATAAGTGTTGGGTGTAAAATCCATCTTTGGTTAAAATTAAATTTTCCCCAATATCACGATGAGAAGAACCAAATAAGTTGCATTCTACTAGTTATCTCTGTTTAATACTTACTTGTAGTCTGAATTCTTACTAATACTGTAGACTTTCCTCTGAATCCTTTAAAACAACAAGCTACAGTACTGTTTGATTTATTCATGAAGGTACTACAGATATGTAACTTGTAATACAAGTAAGTAAGTTTTTATTTTCAAGGGATAATCTGTTATGTGAACAATCCACCCAAGAGTAAACACTCATTGATTTCAGTGAAAGAAGTTTTGTCTACTGAAATGTTCTTTGAAAACTTGGCAGGGGTTGAGGGATGCACAGAGGACTGCTTTGGGCTGTCTTGAGCTTTTATATTGGGAGAAAGCAGGATAAATCTTAAGTTAAAACAAATAAACGTTTTTTGGGTGGGGATCACTGTTGCATCCTACCTAAAGTTAGTTGCTTTTGATCTCATTAAAATAAAGGCTAGTCTCTTGACTTAGGCAGTTCTACATGGGCACAGTATTCCTGTAGTGTCAAACTCTGGATTGGCCTCTGGGCCTCTGTGGAAATGGAAAGGAGTCTTTA